TAAGGTACTCATCGCTGAAGGACTCGGCTACAACTTACTGAGCGTTAGCCAGTTGATGGCGAAAGGAATTCATCTGGAAGCCGACAGCACGACCCAGGAGTTCAAACTTTACCACGGGAGAGGCGGTCTCTACATCGGGAAAGCAGTGCTGAAGAACAACGTCTTCGTCCTCGACTTCGTTCCTGACCTGGGCCCTGCAGACAGCGACGCCATCGTGAATTTCACTGACTGGACACACCCTCCGGATCTCGACCCCGACTTCAGCCCAGGAGGCTTCTGGTACTCGCACACCATTCCTGAAGCAGAACGAACACGAGCATTAGCAACAATTCGACAATCGGCAGCAGTAACAACATCGGCAGCAGCAACAACATCAGCAGCAGTAACAACATCGGCAGCAGCAACAACATCAGCAGCAGTAACAACATCGGCAGCAGCAACAACATCAGCAGCAGTAACAACATCGGCAGCAGCAACAACATCAGCAGCAGCAGGAACAACGACACCAGTCACAGTCGACGAAGCACCACCAACACCCGCGAAACAGCTGAATCCGACTCAACGTGAAGTCCACCGAAGCGCCAACCTCGTCGCCAGCTTTTACTCCAACTCCGACGCATATCAGCGTTCACCTGGACACCGTGCCTCTGAAGAGATCTGGCACGCACGAACAGGACATCCAAGCAACACGGTTTTGAATAACACGATAAGAGCAGGAGTCCTTGACAAAGATTCTCTACTTCTACCCGATGGCAGAGAACTCCAGAAGGCACGAGGGACTTGCCTTATATGTCCCGAAGCTGACTTACCTCATCGACCGTTTGCTTCACATCACAACCCGAGCGCTCCAGCGTACGCACCACTCGAAAAAGTCTACAGCGACATCCTCTACAATCGCGAGCCAGGACAAGTCAACTACAACTACACCATCACCTTCATCGACGCCGCCACTCGATACGTCTGGCATCGCAACCTACCCAGCCGCGACATGGCGCTCGCAGCATTCGCCGCCTGGCTACCGATAGCAGAGAGAGAGTCTGGAACACAACTGAAAAAATTCCAGTCAGACGGAGGTGGCGAGTACACCTCTCACCGCTTCAAGCAGTTCTTGGCGGAAAGGGGGATCAAGCAACTCCTCTCCCTTCCTTACGCACATCAGCAGCAAGGTGTTGCAGAACGACTGAACAGGACCCTGCAGAACAGCATGCGCAAACTATTACGTGGCATGCGGCTACCCAACCACCAGTGGCCAGCAGCAATGGACCACGCTGTCATGCTACACAACTTGTTGTCGTCGTCGTCACTCCCGAACAACGCATCACCGCATCTGCTGTGGACAGGGAAGCAGGGCAGCACGAAAATGTTACGAGTTTTCGGGTGCATGGTACAGTACAGACCCCCATAAGCACGAGCGGGAAGATTTTCGCAACGGGCACAGTGGGGACTACACCTCGGCATCGAGAAAAATTACAACGCATGGAAAATCTTCGACGTCCACACAAAGGAAACAGTAGCAGCACGTGACGTGATCTTCTACGAAAGACTCACCCTTCAGACGTACCTCGCCAACTTGCACGAGAATCGGGACCTCACCAGTGGTTTTCGTGGTGACCGAGCCTTCGCGTCAGCAGCGGACGAAGCAGACTGGGATGAACAGAACGTCGACAACGCCTCAGAAGAAGCCGGACCTCTCCCATACTGCTCCGTCGACGTGCCCATGGATGAGGATAATCCTCGCGACAGTAACAACTCCGAAATCTTCTACCGTTTCGCCGACGATGGTTACGTAACACCTGTGACAGTCAACACCAACGAAGCAGAAAGGGTAGGGCCAAATTTCATGCCCGACCCAGAAACGGGAGACGAAGCAGCTTATCCCGAGGATCCATAACTCCCTCGATACTCACAGACTGGGCTGCAAATCCTCGGCCTCGTCACCGCAGTCCACGGGAACACACGCAGCTCGCTTCCTAAGGAGCCTGCAACGGTTCAGCAGGCTCTGGGGGGGGAACACAGGGAGAAATGGCGTGAAGCCATGGACAGAGAACTGAAGGCATTAGAGGAACGCAACACTTGGAAGGTTGTTCCCGTAAGCGTGGCACGGAACAAAATCATCCTTACCGGGAAATGGGTCTTCCGCATCAAGACGAAAGCAGACGGCACGATCGAAAAATTCAAAGCACGCTGGGTCGTACGTGGATTCGACCAAGAGCAAGGACGAGACTTCACCGAGACCTTTGCTCCAGTCAGCCGCCACACGTCACTCCGAATTCTCCTCGCCATTGCCGCCATGAAGAAGAAGAAGTTACGGCAGATCGACGTCGCGAATGCCTTCCTCTACGCACCTGTGGATGCAGAAATCTACGTCGAGCTCCCGCACGGTTCCCACGGCGAACCCAACCGAATCTGTCAACTACTTAAGTCGCTCTACGGGATCAAGCAGGCACCGCGACTGTGGCAGCAGTACCTGCACGCCCGTCTCATCCGCATCGGCTTTAGTCAACTACCTCACGACCAAGGCATGTACCGCCTCACTAAGGGAAGCGACTACGTTCTCCTGATCGTCTACGTGGACGATCTCCTCTACATTGGGTCAACCGACGGCATCGCCACGTGGTTCGAAGGAGAGCTCCAGAAAGACCTCACGCTCACGGTCTCCTCCACCGTTACACAGTACCTCGGGCTCAACATCCGCGAAGAAGAAAACGCCATCTATCTAAGCGCCGAGAAATACGCCGACACCATCGCGAAACGCTTCAGCCTCACACCAAGCGCCATCTCCACGCCCTACCGCTACACATCAGGAACCGAGAAGGAACGAACTACTCTACTCAAGCCCGCCGGCATACGCGACTATCAGAAGAAGCTCGGATGCCTGCTATTCGCCGCCGTCACCTGCCGTCCTGACTTATCCTACTCCGCAAGTCAGCTCGCCACCTATCTCAAGAAGCCTGAAGCTGAACACCTGGCGGAACTTGATCGCGCTCTCCACTACTTCGTCAGCACCGCGACGATCGGGCTAACCTACCACAAGAGCGCAGCTACACCGACTAAGCTAATCGGCTACGTCGACGCCGATCACGCCGGCGACACCGACAACAGGCGCTCACGCACCGGCTATGTCTACCGCCTTGAGCCTATCGGTCCTATCTCCTGGCAGTCGAGCAAGCAGGAGTTAATCGCACTATCTTCAGCAGAAGCAGAATATATTGCACTCTGCTCAGCCACCAAGGAGGGACTTTACCTTCGCGAACTACTGGAAGAAGCGAAGCTAGCCGAGTTACCCAGCTTCACCGTGTTCTGCGACAACCAGTCAGCAATTCGCATCGCCAACAAAAACGGCTTCGCAAACAGGACGAAACACATCGCCCTGCGCTATTTCTTCGTGAAGGACGAGATAGAAAAAGGGAAACTCGATCTGTCATACTGTCCAACATCCGAGATGGCAGCCGATTACTTGACCAAGAAACTCGGCAAGCAGAAGTTCGAATACTGCATGATGCTGACTGGACAAGGCCACGTCACCAGCAGTAACACTCCAGAAGCGAAGGGGAGTGTTGGAAACAATAAGTCCTAAGTGCGCTTCTGTCGTATCAAAATCCAAGGTACCAAGCGAAGCAGTCCCAATCGAAGCATCGAGTCAACCTCGGAGGTTAGGGTAACCGCCTGGAGGTTACGAGAAAGTCAAAGGTCGCTGACCTTTGACTCGACAATTACAGCGCGACAGTTAAGGACACACAACTGACTCGTTACAGAGCAGTTGCCCGAGTCGCGCTATATCGAACCGCAACAGCAATACAGTTATCTATCTATTCCCTGTACTCTTATATAAATCCTTGTATTTGCTTGTTTAATTCAATCAACTTTGCTCTCACACACCAGTGCAAGGTCGGTTCAAATTCTTCACTAAACGCTTCCGCTATTACAACTACTTCACCTAGAGTTATCCCTTGCAAAGATCCTAAGGGGCTATCTCAGCCCAACAGCGATTACGTGCATCACCAAAAACTTGGCTGACTTACGTGCATATTTAGGAAAGCTTGCTTTCTCGCATGTAGTAATTGGCATTGTCTCATTTCAATGGGTTTCGTACTCCAAAACTCGCGATTAGCGCGGTTCAACGCTGCCCATTCCTACATTACAAGCAGATTCGCTTTCAAAACACATAAGCGTTACAGCAATTAAAAATATACATTTTGAAGAAAAGGTTGGTGTCAAGAATTGTATATTATACGCAACTACATACAATATAGTTAGTGTAATATCACTGTCGAAATGTTTCTATTGGTGGTGTACCTCCCTTAGCCACCTGCGCTTGCTATGTCTTGTACCTGTGCTATAGTGAGAACCCCTCTTTTCTCGCTAATCTCTCTCTCCACTCTAGCCTAGGGTTCCTAAGACTAAGGCTACTCTGACAGCTGGTACTGTACCTTACATGAAGCGTCAAACATTTCAGTGTTAACATGTATTTTATAAGCCAGGTGTGTCGAGAGTCTACAGCTACCAGCTGCCCACCTGTGCCCATTTCCACCACACTGTAACCCTACACCGGAACACAGGGAGCTTCACATTAGAGCCCACCCTAGTCCACACAGGTTAATGTGAGAAGGAAACACTCTGGTCACTGCTTCTCCACAGAAGCAGCAGCAGCAGCAGCAGCCACAGCAAAGGTTATGGACCCTCTGCTGCCCACTCTCCCAGCAGCTCATCTGTCTCTCGCTAGGTATAGGCTGCTCAAGCCCTGATGCTTGCTCACTGCCTCTTCACACTCCCAGCAGCAGCAGCAGTCACAGCAAAGCCAATCGAACCACTACCAAACGCCTTCCCAGCAGCCCATCTGTACCCCACTTCGATATGCTGCTCATGCCCTGAGGTTTGCGCACTGCTTTTTCACACCAGCAGCAGCAGCAGCAGCAGAGCCAACGGAACCCTTGCTGCCAGCCCTCCCAGCAGCCCATCTGTACCCCGCTTGGATAGGCTGCTCAATCCCTAATGCTCGATCACTGCTTCTTCACACCACCACCAGCAGCACCAGCAGCACCAGCAGCAGCAGTAGCAGAACCAACAGAACCCCTGCTGCCAGCCTTCCCAGCAGCCCTCCCAGCAGCCCACCTGTACCCTGCTTTCTCCCGTATCTCCCTCACCCCACTGTCCATCACCCCTTTACCCACCCTCACCATTCTACTTGCCTCCTCCCTCCCCATTGACACCATCCTCTCCCCTACCTCCCTCACTCCCTCGATCCTCCTCCCCACCTCCCCTCCCACTTGCTCCCGCACCATCCTCGCACCTTCCTTCAGATCAGCACCCTGTAGCCCCCGCACCTTCCTGGCAGCTTCCTCGGCCCTTTTACTCAACGACCGCTGCAAGCTGCCGTCCGCCACGCTGGCAGCCAGGCTGGACGCCACGTCAGCAGAACGCTCTTTGATTTTTACCAGATTCTTGGCAGCGCCGTGTTTCGCCTCCTCTGCTCTCTGTTGAATCAACTCCGCCCACCAGCCGGGGGGGAGAATAGCAGGTTCTTGGATGCTGCAAGGGGGGGGGGGGGGGGGTGCAATGAAGGAAAAGAGAGCGAGAGTAAGCTAGGAACCGCTTCAGGGCCAGCCCCTTGGCGAAATCCGCCAAGAAGATGGCCTGCCACTTCAGCCAGCGCTGGTCAGTGGCCCTCCAGCGCTCCCAGGAGAACGCCCTGCACACCAAGGCCAGGGCTGGGATTGAGGCAGCACACCCCCAGATGGCAGCGGACCCCTGGCCGCGGCACCTGGGGGACATCCTCCACACGCTGGAGTGCTAGAGGGTCACTCAGGGGGGAGGGGAGGGGAAGAGGGGTGAGTTGATGGGCTTATGGGATTGAGGTTATCATGGATAGAACTGCATGTCTGTACCCCTGCTGAATTATTACAACGGACCATTTGAGTAAGAAGGGAGGGAATGGAAATGCATTCTTTTGAGTCGACTCAAAAGTCAGATGAGTAAGAAGGGAGGGAATGGAAATGCATTCTGAAATGGAAACAGGAGACGATCTGCTGGTGGTGCCGTGCTGTGCCTGCGGTGCTGTGCTCTCTGTTGGATCGAACCCTCACACCATCCCGCGGGAACCAATCCACCAAATCCACCCATCTTGGGTGGGGAGAGGTGACGAATACGCCACACTCACATGTCTCCCACATGCCAACTTCTGAATTCTGACTTTCTCTGCTGCAATACAAGCAGGAACAACCATCCCATCCAAAGCACCACTCACCTGCACTCCTCCGTCCCATCAGAAGCGCTACCTTCCACACCCGCACCTCCTCCTCCCACCTCCCCCTCACTGACAAACCCATATGCAGATTCTCAAAAGTAACTCACCTGCCCTCCTCCGTCCCATAAGAAGCACTGCCCTCCACACTCGCACCTCCTCCTGCTGCCTTCCAATCCCCCCTTCTTGCAATGCTAGCAGTGGCACAACCATCCCATCCAAAGCACCACTCACCTGCCCTCCTCCGTCCCATCAGAAGCGCTACCTTCCACACCCGCACCTCCTCCTCCTCCTGCCTCCCTCTTGCTGCCGAAACCTTGCTCCCCTTCGCCTGCCACCCCACTCGCCCCTTCTGTCTCCTCTCCTTCCAGCCCCCCACTTGCAGTACTAACTTTCCCTCCACCCTCATCATCTCCACTGCTGCTATACCTTCCAGCCTCAGCTCTAAATCTCTCTACCTCTTCCCTCAGTGAGTCCCTTTCCCTCTCCACACACTCACGCTCTTCCCTCTCCCTCCTCACTCCCTCCTCCTCCTCTCTTCTCACTCTCTCCATCTCCTCGGCCAATTGCGCTGCTTCCCGCTTTGCTGACTCAGCCTCCTGCCTCGCCACGTCAGCTTCCTTCCGAGCTTCCGCCACCTCCACCCGAACCGCAGCCTCGTTCACCGTCTCATAGGTTCGGCCGAACGTGAGCGCCGCAGCAGCCTGCGCATGCGTAACAGGCTTTAAGGGGTCAAACCGACGAACATTACCGAACACCAAGGGAATAACAGCCGCATTAGTAGCAGATTTGAAATCTTGCCCCCTCCCCTGCCCCTCCCCCAGCCCCTTACCCCCGGCCTGCCCCCAACCCTCCTCTTCCCCCTCTGGTTGGTGCTCCATGCCCCCCCTGTGATGCAGGAGAT